TTTATTCGAATAACATGTCACACGTACCTTAATAGCCTTTAAGGGCAATTCCGTCATTTCATATCCACGATAAATAAATTTCGGGACGGGCTGTGACAATCTCCCCTCCTTATAGAATTTCGTCCTCGAAATTCATACAACACTCAATCCACTAATATTCATAAAATAGCCTTGGATACAACTCTTTTATTCGATCTTCCGTCTCCCAAGTAGCTTCTTCCACTGAGTGGTTCCTCCACAATACTTTTACTAAGCTCACTGTCTTATTCCTTAGAACTTTGTCTTTCCAATCCAAGATAGTCATTGGTTCCTCATCATACGTCAAATCCGGATTAATCTCCAAAGGTTGAGGAGGAATCACATGTGAAGGATCTGAAACATAATGTCAAAGCATCGAGACATGAAACACATTATGTACCTTAGATAACTCCGGAGGCAACAATCAACATTTCACGTGTGCATGAACAGTGACATCCAACTGGGGTTCGGATTTCACGTGATTTCGAGGGTTTCTAGTTCTAAAACTAGTACCAATCGACTCAGGAGGTTGCAAGGATGAAGGAACTCACCTTTTTGACGTCGATCCGTGAAGATTTGAGGGTTTTGGTCCTCATCTGTACAAGTTCGAGAGGGAGAGAGGAAGAGAACTACGAGGGAGAAGAGAGAGAGGGCACGGGTAGGAGAGAGGGCTTGTCCCGTGTGTGTGTGGTCCACCCAAAACAATCACAATCCAATTCCTTTAGGTCCCTAACCACACAATTTGCATACCATTTAATCTACTTAATTAAATTTTCCAAGAACTTAGGAGAGTATACATTTATTTGAATAACATGTCACACGTACCTTAATAGCCTTTAAGGGCAATTCCGTCATTTCACATCCACGATAAATAAATTTCGAGACGGGCTGTGACAATACCAATTAAACAAAATTCGTATTAAATAATCAATTAGGGTTTGAAATAATATAAATTTAGAAAATATAAATTTACATAAATTTAGGAAGGATGAGGGATCTGCGTGTTTGGTAAAGTGGGGGGATGGGGATTGGGGAGGAACGGGGTAATGACTGGTCTCCCCAAACTACTTTAATTTTTTTTTTAAATGGAGAAGTAAAATGACACCGTTTACTTATTATTTTGGGTTTAGGGTATTATTTTTTAATAAAAACAAACCCTGCGCGCAGGGGGAGTTGCGCAACAGAACCACCATTCCAGATTTCTAGTTTCCAGCCAAATCAAAGGAGCTTAGGCCTCACTCTTGGTCTTGTTTTCCGGCGAGCGGAGGGGTGGTTGCCCCCCTTCACCCCTATCTAGCTTCACCACCGATGCTAGCTAGGGAGACTAAATTTCTAAATAAAATTCTGTAAACTAAATGACATGTAAGTTGATGATTGCATTATTACTTAAGTATTGATAAACGTTCTCATTCATATTGGTGACACATCATTTAGTTTCCAAAATTTTATATAGAAATTTAATCTCCCTAGCATTACCCATAAGAAATAAGCATGCTCATCATAACTTAAATAACAATCTCATTATCATCTTTCACGCCATTTAGTTTAAAAAAAATTAATCTACACATTTATTCTCTCTTGCATTACTTTTTGGCTAAATTAAGTCTTTTCTTCAACCGAATTGAAGCACGTCTTTTTATAAAATGGTAATGCTAGTAAAACTAAATTGGGTAAATTACATAATAGCCCCTCAGGTTTGTGGTCTATTACAACCCCGTACAACATCTTTAAAACATTTTACTTTCATACCTCATGTACTATTTTATTTCAAAATAATACATCCGTTATATTTTCTATCCATTGATCCGTTAAGTGCTGACGTGGCTGCCACATTTATGCCATGTGGCTGCCAAATGTGCGCCATGTGGCAAAAAAAATAATTTTTTAATTTAAAAAAAAAACCTGAATCTTCTAAATTTAAAAAAAAAAAAAAAAAAAAACCAAAAGCTGAACCCACAACCCCCACCCCCCACCCCCCACCCACCTAACCTGCAACCCAAAAGAAGAAGAGGAGGAGAGGAAAAAAAAAAAAAACAAACAAACAAACCCATCTTCATCTTCCCCGACCCCTCATTCCTTGCAACCCACCCTTTCTTCCCCCTCCCGTCTTCCCCAAACCCACCGTGCACCCATCCTCCACCTCCTCCTCCGCACCCACTACCTGCAACCAGAAAAGAAAAGAAAAGAAAAAAAAAACCCATATCCCTTTCCCTGCAACCCAAATCCCATTCTCCCCAATGAATCTGGATTTAAGGAGTGAGGTGTGTAGAGGATGGAAAAGGATGCATGCGAGGGTGGGTGCGCTGAGTTTTTTTTTTTCTTTTCTTTTCGGGTTGCAGGTTGGGGGAGGGGGGGATCTGGGTTTTCTGGAATATTTTTTTTTTAATTTAGAAGATTTAGGTTTTTTTTTAATTAAAAAAAAAAATTGCCACGTGGCACACATTTGGCAGCCATGTGGCATAAATGTAGCAGCCATGTTTGCACTTAACGGATCAATGGATGGAAAATGTAACAGATGTATTATTTTGAAATAAAATAGTACGTAAGGTATAAAAGTGAAATGTTTTAAAGATGTTGTATGAGATTATGATAGACCTTAAACCTTAGGGCCTACTATATAATTTACCCAACTAAATTTTTTGAATTAAATTTGTAAATCATATGATGTGGTTGTAGATGATTGGATTATTAATTAAGTATCAATTTATGTGCTTGTTTCTTATCAGTGACACATCACTTAATTTGCAAATATGATATAAAATTTTGATCTCCATATAATTATCCTTTATAAAAAAACAAACATTGCATCTTCCGTCCTCCTTCACCCACCACATTGTTGATTCGCTTATTGCAATTTTTTTTAGGGAGTTTTAACGAAAAGCCCACGGTACTGTTACCTTTAACGAAAAACCACATTTTTACACTAAAAAGTCAAACCTGCTACTATTCACTTTACCCTTTATTTGTCCTTATCATTAAAACTCAAAGTTTTCAAGCCCTTTTCATTAGTTTTCTTTTTTTTTTATGATTATTAATTTTAAATCAATCACATATATATGCTATATATTTGCTGTCTTTAATTTTTTATTAAAAATATGAAGGCATTGAAAATGGTCCTTATTGTAAGTACAAATAAAACACTAACTGCAGCATATATCTACACAATGTGAATGCAGGAATTACAGCAGAGAATTCAAAGAGTAACTGATAAATGGGGGCCAAATGGAAGACAGCCTTCAATGACTATATATGAAGAGGAAATGGGCAAAACTAGGAAGGACATTGTTGATTTCCACGGCGAGATGGTGCTCTTGGTGAACTACAGCAACATCAATTACACAGGTAGTCCATGGCTGATGAAGCTAATTAATAAGCTCATGCCAATATTATACAGCAATCCTTCAAGAACTTACATTCCACCCTCCACTTCCCATTCTTCTTTTTCCCCTCTGCTAGTAAATTACTCTCTCTACTAAATTTCTCTCTCTCTCTCTCTCTCTCTCAAGGGAAGGGATCTCCATTTTTCAAAAAAAATGGGAACACTCTCTTGACCATTAGATTTGACTTTAATGAAATTCTGTGGCTGAGATTAAATCACAGGCTACAGAATCTCAACCACAGGATTTTATTAAAGCCAAATCTAACGGTAAAGAGGATGTTCTCATTTTTTTGAAAAGTTGGGATCTCTTCCCAAAAGGCCATTCGTATGTGCGAGTGAGCGTAATATATATGTAAAACATTTTTCCCACACCAATAAGGCCGAGGGTCATCTTCGTCTCAAGCGCATGGAACAGGCCTTGCAAATAATTCATGATTCGACATATACTTGACAATTTTTGGGTTTTGTAGGGCTGGCTAAGATACTGAAGAAGTATGACAAGAGAACAGGTGGCCTACTGAGATTGCCATTCATTCAAAAGATTTTGGAGCAGCCATTTTTTACAACTGACAATATCTCAAAGCTGGTCAAGGCATGTGAGAGTACCATAGATGCAGTGTTCCCAGTGGAGGAAGAAGAGAGAAAAAGAGAAGTGAAAGAAGCAGTAACGGTCGCCGGAGAAGGAATATTTAGGAACACAGTTGCAGCCCTACTCACCATGCAAGAGATTAGAAGAGCAGGCAGCTCTACTTATAGCCAGTATTCTCTTCCACCTCTCAACTTGGATGCTGACAGCTCTGATCTCACCCAGTTATTCCAACTGAGCCCTCCCATACCTATTGTTTAGTTATAGGAGCTAGAATTAATAAATGAGCAGACAAATTAATTGGAGTTATATATAGCACAAGAACTGGAACATGTCGAATTTATGTTTTTATTTTTATTTTTAATTCTAGGCAATATTTTTACTCTAAGCTAGACAGCAAAGAGGAGGACAATTTGGACTTGAGGATGAAGTTGCATGAACAGGAAGACCATATCTACCATCCCTTTATTTTTTCCCTTCTCTCACTACCACTAGGATAAAAAAAACACTTGCGGGGCCAAACTTTACATGATGCATCAAATTTCATCGCACAATGGACACTTCCGCAATGAAACTAGGGTATTATAGCGCAAAGATGGCTTGACCATAAAAAATTATTGAAAACAATTATGCGATGAAGGTTTTCGTCGGGCAATACGCATTTGCACTACGAAACTAAATATTCGTCGTGCAAAGTTTGAGAAAAGACGCAACAAGATGGGGACTTGGCGCCAACATCTCGCACGAAGACGCTTTTTTCTGCCAAAATCTTGCGTGACAAATGTATCACTACAAGACAGCACCACATTTATCACAGTTAATTCACCACGGACATAAAAAACACGTTGTAGAATATCGAGTATTACCACGGACATTTAAAGTCGGTTATGAGTAAATGGTTTTAACAACGGGCAAAATTGGCCCGTAATAGAACATGTTAGAATAATAACGCGCAAGTAAAGCTCGTTGCATTTATTTGATATAACCACGAGGGTAGCCCGTTGTTGAAATAAATTTAATCACAGCGCCTTCTTGAAATCAATCACGGTATATGAATGTTGTAGGTTAATTTATTTAATATTACTCTCAAATTTGTTATCAGAACCAACTCTATCTTAAACCCAATCTATATACCAATTCCAGATCTGATACCACCAACCACCCAGTCTCACCCATTCGCTTCCTTCGACGGTTTATCTGAAATCTCCAAACTACTCATTTCTCTCTCCAAAGCCCCCGCCCCCCTCTTCTTCGAAATCGCAACCATCTTCTATCCGGCGCCCACACAAGAACTCGTCACTGACGCAGAGCCCGCCAGAAGCTTTCTCTAGAGAACAACATGTCGGTCGTCGTCCCCATGGCCTCGCCCAGTCGCTGGCTCGACTTGGATGACCAGCCATTCCTCAATTCCAGGATTAGTATGTCTCTCGATTTCTTTGTAAAGATATTAAAATTTAATTCCGTTTATTGAAATGATACCGTGATTATTCTGCAATTAAAGTGTAATTATGAATAAGTATGTTTTTTACAATTCAATTTTGGCTAAATGTGATAAAGATGAAAGCTTTACTTAGTTTTGGTTCAATACGATAAGGTGCAAGAGAAAGGGATATGTTGATAACTAGGAGGCAAGCATGCCTTCTCCAAGCATGACCAAGCATAGAACGAGCAGTGTGAAAATTTTCGGGGTCGAATTGTGCCCTGACAATGTCGCTGTTGCCATGGTATTTTGTTCAAGGTGTCCTAGGCCTTGCAGGGCTTGCTGTCTGTTTTTAACTTTCCATTTAAAAGACGATTTGCATCTCGACCTGGCTGAGGTACATTTACATTCACACTTTCTGTTATTTTTTGGAACTGGTTTGCTTTACATTTGTAGCTGTAGTTATTAAAAGTGGCATTCTTGATGAATTGTGAACTTAAATTGACGTTGGTATGCACTGATTGGTAAAGAATTTGCTTTGAGAATGCTGATTAGTATGAAAATGGTGCTAACCGGGGTACGATAGTGGGATTCTAGCTTTGAATTACTGATGTGAGACATTGTTTTTCTTTGATAAGTGAATTGTTTGTATAGTTTTGGTTTCTGACAAATTTATATGTGAAGGATCTCCCTCAATTGGTCCCGCTCTCATTTTCAATTTTGATGTCCTCGAAGACTCAACGATGCTATCTTTGAACCTATTTTTGTTTGTTTTCCTAATTTTTTGGCATTTTGTAGGCGAACTGCTATTATAGTGACTAATAGAAGTAGAAAGAAGGAACAAGGGGTTGAAATTTGGCTAATTCTGCCAATATAGATGTTTTGCAAGTGGCTGGGTTTTGCTAGTTTAAAGGTCTAATGCTTCTTTTTCTTTTACTATTGCTTTTGTTAATTCAGGGTTATTAAACATATTACAATTTGCAAGTTACTCTTGAATTATTAAGCTTTCATTTAAAAATAAATAAACCAAGGAAGGAAAAACAATGAATTGAGGTATATTTGATATGTATGCTATTTTGCACTATAGTGAATCGTATAGATCAATTAAATTCTAGGCGGCGAATCTTCACCATTGATGAAATTGTGATTCTATGTTTAACTTCTACAGGTGTGTCCTCTGTATATTTCTATAATTTCAATTTCTGAAATATCTATTGTTTATTAGATTTACTTTCGATATGGTCACTATTGTTTATGGTTTATAAAAAGATAAAATCTATGTTTATGGTATTGGTTTGGTTAATCTTGTATAGTATATATTTGCAGAATTATACGTAGTGGCTCTATTTAGTAGGTTCATAATCTAATCATGTGTTTTATCTTTTCTCAAGGACTCCTCTTATTATAATTTGTCAAGAGTTCAATTGCAAAGGAATGCATGAGTAGAAAGGTTTAGAGGCAGAAACTCTATTCACTTTTCTTGATTGAGATCAAATGTATATTTCCACCTATACGAGTACCAAGATTTTTTTTCTTGTGATCCATATGCTTTTGTCCATGCAAATAGAGAGTCAGCAATTGTTGAGGCTCAAGTATTAGGGGCAATAGTTCACTCTCAAGGTCCTTTGTTTGGAGATGTTCAAAGAAATCTGAAGTCTTCAAGTGTTCTTGTTATTGGAGGCATATTTGATACTTTGTGGATAGTTTGGTATTTCTAGTATAACTCATCGTTAGCTTTAGTGTGCAGTTTGTAATATTTGATTTTGCAATTTGTTTATGTAATTATTATATTGTAGTAAATTTGTTTATATATTAAATGATTTATTATTATTATTTTTTTATTTTTGGAAATTTTTTTATGACGGTCATTAGCCGTGGTCAATTTGTAATTCACAACGGCTATAATGAATGTGGTGTTAGATCACAATCTACCACGGGCACAATCCGTGTTTATTTCACATTTGACAACGGGCATAGTCCGTGGTAGAAACTAAGACTTTCTATCACATCCAGATTACTAACGGGCACAGTGCCCGTGGTGGATTGCAATCTATCACGGGCATTGACCGTGGTAGATGAGCTTTTTTCTACTAGTGTATCGTCACGCAAAGTTTCTTGAAATGGTTTGTTAAACATTTAAGGATGATTAATTAATGCAAGCTTTGCGTGACGAATCTTTCATCGCTCAAAGGTTTCATATGTTATATAAAATCACAGATCCACTCTCCATTTTCCTCTCATCCTTTTCCCCAAAACTGTCAAGGCCCCCTCATTTGCTTCTTCCCAAAACCCCTTATGTCCCAATTCTTGTTTTACTTTTCTGTACGATGGTTGATTTCATTGCTGCTCCAACTAACCAAGGGTGTGAGGGCCAAGGATCTCGGAAAGGTAATATCAAATTTTGTATGGATTTAATACTTTTTGTTTTGTTGTGGAAAAAAAATTATTTGATCATTATCATAAAATTGGATGTGTTTGTACCATACTTGACCAATCCCGAAACTACTGAGCATCGGTCAACGTTATACCGTCAAGGACCCAGAAGAGTTTCCCTCAAACTAGAAGGCCAATCACAGCGCGACACGTGTTGATATCAGAAGCCAATCATAACGCGACACGTGTCGACATCAGAAGCCAATCACAACACGACATGTGTCAATGTCAAAATGAAACTAGAAACTTTCTTCTATAAATAGAGATCATTCTCTCACAATATTTCCTGATGTCATTTGTACTAAATCATTCACTAGTACTCACTAAAGGAGAGCTTGAACCTATGTACTTGTGTAAACCCTTCACAATTAATGAGAACTCCTCTACTCCGTGGACGTAGCCAATCTGGATGAACCACGTACATCTTGTGTTTGCTTCCCTGTCCCTATCCATTCACATACTTATCCATACTAGTGACCGAAGCAATCTAGCGAAGTTCACAAACTTAACACTTTCTGTTGTACCAAAGTCCTCATTGATTTTGTGCATCAACATTTGGCGTCGTCTGTGGGAACGACACTTATTCTCACTCTCTTCAGCTTTGTTGAGCTGGTTTCCACCATTTGTACACTCTCTTTTGACCAGGCATCCCTTTCTAACATGGGGAGCGAAGGAAGCCACATCACACAGAATGACACCCTCTTGCACCTGGTGCGAAGCAACAAAGGAAGGAATAAAAGAAGTTTGCTTTTCAGGCTAAAATCGATGAGCTGGAAGCTTAGAACAACAAGATAGCGATGAAGAATGAGATCATTCAAGAGCAGTATGAGAAGGTCTTCGAGATGCTCCACGAGGCTAGATATACTAAAACACACGAGCTCATCACTCCTGTGGAAGTCAACCATCAACTGGGTGCCCCCCAACACGGAGGGTCATTTGTCTTCGACATGGGTATTCCTGTTGAGGAGCGAGCTACTCATTAAAATGGCGACCAACATGAGACTTCTTTCAAACCAGGTGCTTCGACTCGAAGCAGGAGGAGTGGAGGAAGGCACCTCATTACAGAAAGAGTGGAAGGATCGAAAGTTGTCTTTCGCGATTGTCGAGACTTTCTAAAGCAACGTCGAGACAATCCCATTCATGTACGCTCGAAGATCAATGACTCAAGGGTCTCTGAAAGACTTGGTCCCCTCCCATGTCCTAGGACAGCTACCAATTTGGGGAAGGGGAAACAAGTCTTAGAGGAACACGAAGGTATAGGGGACTCAGAGATGTTCCGACAGACATACCTTGGAAGTCAGTACAGCGAGTCCAAGGAAAAATCACATGCTCTTGATCAAACCTTCCTACTTCTAAGAGGAGATAGAGATTTACGAAAGAAAGCTTCGGTGGTACATGACTCCACTCAAGACCCTCTTATCCTACAGCTCCTTAAGGAAGTAAACAAGTTGAAGGCCGAACGACAAGCTGAGATACCTGATTGGAACCAACCTAGGCCTGGCCTTCTTACAAGGAAGATCCTCGACACCCCCCTCCAAGCAAAGATAAAGCAGAAGCTTGGCTTGCAACTCTATGGAAAGGAGGACCTGATTGAACACATTAACCTCTTTGAGTCCACCATGGCATACTGGATGCACACCGACAAAAAGCAATGTCTTCTCTTCCCCTCCACCCTCTCTGATTGAACACATTGTTGTCTTCCACCTGAGACGGTGACTCATTTGAGAAATTGAGGAAACTGTTTGTTTCTAAACACATTTTCCAGACCGATCGCTTGCACTCTGCGGATGACTTGTACACTATTCGCCAGAAGCCAAATGAATCATTACATATGTACATTGGCCGCTTCAGCCATGAGTATTTCCGTTGTGCCGAGGCAGATGATAAGGCTGCCCTCAAAGCCTTCACGGCGGGCTTACGTGATTGTTTCTTCAAGTACATGATCAATGCCAACACTTGGAAGACTTACTCTAAGGTGATGGCACAGACTTACAACCATGCCTCCGCCGAGGCAAGGACATATCAAGGGAAACCCCCCACAACCACCCCTTATCAACAAGTAGGGAGTGGAAACCATATCCAACCAAATGAGAAGACCTCGACCTTCCAAACGGCAGCGATGCATTCCCTTGCCTTACTTAATACTTTACCAAGTCAACAGACATATCAACTTCAGGGTAAAAGGAAAAATTTCCATCCTCAACAGTCTCATTTTAATAAAAGGAGTAAGGGACACTATCGCGATAACCAAGGGTATCGCCATGATAATGCCCACCCCCAGGCAGTTAACATAATGGGTCAAGCATGTGTCAGGACATGCCCTACCCCGATGTATGAGACATACACACCTTTGAACGCCACATACGTGGCCATTTACCCCAGCATAGCATACATGATACCGAGCCAATGCTGAGGCAGTCGGGTTACAAGCCCATGAAGAACATGGGCACGTTTTGTTGCTACCATGAGCATAACGGCTATGACGACGAGAAGTGTATCACCCTTCGTGATCATATTGAAGCTTTGATGCGTGAAGGAAAAATTTATTGATTCCTTCTTCACCCTTCAAGGCATAACCGTAACCAACGCCAAGTGAATGTGATATATTCCATAAACGGCGGCACACCCATATCTGAATCTTCCAATAGGGCCATGAAAAACAGTGAACGAGCTTTAAGGCCTGGCCACCAAGTGTTTCACGTGGAAGACATCAGGGGAAGCAAGTATGAAAAGCCTAACTGGGATATAATATGTTTCTACTCTGAGGAAGAAAGAGGTATCATCTACCCTCACAACGACCCACTGATCGTGGAGGCTCACATAGCCAACTTTGAAGTACAACGAATCCTGGTAGACACGGGGGCTTTGGTTAATATCATGTTTGCTGAAGCTTTCAGGGCACTTAATGTAGCTGAACACTTGCTCGATCACTCGATTTCTCCTCTAATAAGCTTCTCCCGTGATATCGTGCAACTTTTAGGGAGCATGCACTTACCTTTCATCATTGGTATAGGCCCTTACACAGCTACCATTACCACTAACTTCCTGGTGGTTGATTGCCCAACGGCATACAATGTCATCTTTGAACGCACAGGCATCAATAATCTCAAGGCCATGGTATCCACACATATGTTATTGATGAAATTTCCAACCCCCTATGGCAATGGTTACATCAGAGGAGATCAACTTAGTGCACGGTCATGTTACAACTCTTCGGTCAAGCAACAACACCTGCCTGTGCCCAAGGAAACCTTTTCTATACATGACCAAGTCATAAAGACCAGCCCGGACGAAGCCAACTTGGATCTTTACGGTGGCAACAATCAACTTGACGATCCTCGAGATGACTCTTTCACCTAGCAAGCACAACTCGCTGAAGAGCTGGATAAGGTTTCTATATCAAAAGATTATCCAGATCGCATGGTGAAGATTGGCACCACCTTATCACCACCTATTCGATTGGCATTGATCTTTTTTTTACAAGAGAACACTGAGGTCTACGCCTGGTCATACGAAGACATGCCAGGCATTTCTTTCGATATGTCATCGCTTGAGTATTGACCCCAAGAGCAAGTCATTGAGACAGAAGCGAAGATCTTATGACGTTGAACGATATGAAGCAATGAAGGTAGAAGTTGAAAAACTCAAAGGCATAGGCTTCGTCCGCGAAGTCAATTACCCAACATAGGTAGGAAATGTGGTCTTTGTTAAGAAAAATCCAACCAAAGAAAGTCTCTTGCTCCAAAAGGTCTTGTGGAGAATATGTGTAGACTACACCGACCTAAACAAAGAATGCCCGAATGTAGCTTTCCTCTTCCTATCATTGACAGACTTATAGACTCTACGACAGGGTGTGAACTCTTGAGCTTCATGGATGCTTACTCAGGATACAATCAAATCCTCATGAACCCTCCAGACCAAGAACACACAACCTTCACTACTGACAGGGGACTATATTACTATAAAGTTATGCCATTCGGCCTAAAGAATGCAGGAGCGACTTATTAGAGACTGGTCAATTCAATGTTCGCCGAACAGATTGGAAAGAGCATGGAAGTTTACGTTGATGATATGCTAGTCAAGAGCAAACATGCTGACTAACACATCACCAACCTATCTGAAACTTTCACCATTCTGAAGAGGTATCGAATGAGGTTGAACCCTAATAAATGTGCCTTCGGCGTAGGCTCTTGCTAATTCTTAGGCTTTATGATAAACCAACGAGGCATTGAGGCTAATCCTAAGAAAATCAAAGTAATCATCGACATGAAATAACCAGTAACTTTAAAAGACATCCAGAGCCTTACTGGCAAGGTGGCAGCCTTAACTAGGTTCATCTTTAAGGCCATAGACAGATATGCTTATTTCTTCAAAGCACTTAAGGGAAGTAAGAAGTACATTACATGGA